CTGGCTGTCGCTCTGCTCCTGCTCCTGCCCCGTGAGTAGCCCCGGGACGACCAAGAGTAGCCCCGGGATGACCGAGACCGGTGGAGGGTGGAGGCGGGGGGGGGTGCGAAGGCTGAGCATCGCCCAGCCGGTAGCCGTGGAGGCTGGGGCATCGTGTCCCTAACCCCTGTCCATGTGTGTCCGTCCATCCCCCCGTGTCCCCTCGCAGCTGGCAGGGCCACCGGACCGCTGCCCACCCTGGCCCCGCCGCTGAGCATGATGGTGGCCGGGCAGCGCCGGCGGCTGGTGGTCTGTGTGGTGAGCGACCTGGCCCCCGGCTCCGGCCATGCCGTCTGGATCTCCGGTGGGAATGGCAGCACCCTGCAGTCCTTCACCTACGGGACCTCCCAGGAGGACGGTGGCACCGTCTGCACCGTCTCCCTCCTCCCTGACGACCCCCCGGCCGAGGGGGATCTCGCCTGCCACATCGGACCCAACACAACCTCCCCGGCCCACAGCTCCAGCCCCATCCGTGTCACGGGTACGGCCCCGCAGCCACCCTTTCTGCCCGTCTTGCTTGCTCCTCGCTGTCCCAGCCGTCACCGGGGATAGGGGATGGCGGGGAGCAGGTGCGAGGTCCCCCTTCCCCGGCCGACGTTGGGGCGTGCAGGAAGGGGTTTGCGGCCGGCCCTGCCACACACCTGGCACCGGGTCGCCGCTGTCGCCTCCCCAGCTGCGCTCTCATCCCGCAGGCGATGAAGAAGTGGCAGAGCCGTGTCCCGGCAGCACGACTGGTGAGTCTCCGGGTTGTGCCGCGGCGGGAATGTCAGTAGCCGGGGAGGGAACGCAGCTGGGCTTCTAGCAGGGACCCGGTTGGGGCCGTGCGGTGGTTGGGGGGGGTCCTCAAGGCAGTGCAGGGCCGGGGAAGAGGGGATGAAGCTCCATCTCGGTGGGTCAGAGCCAACCTGCTCTCGGGGACAGCACGAGGGTGACAAAAGCCCACGACGGGTCCTGGGGAACCTGTTGGGCCCGAAGTCTCGGGGACAATTCCCTGGGCCTACGGCACCGGAGGGGATGTGGTTGCAACGGGGTGCCCCTCCGTTGCAGTGCCGCCAGCCCGCGCCTCGGCAGCCCTGCTCGTGGCCGTCCGCGTGGTGCTGCTGAAAGTCGCGCTCTCCGACGCTCTCCTCACCTCCATCCTCCTGGCCCAGAGCTGAGGGTCCCGGGATGGAGGCCCACCCCTGAGGGGTAAGTCCCCCTTGTTTGGCCCTGGGGGTGTGGAAGGTGCCTGAAAGATTCCAGAGGGTGGAGAGGAGCCCCCCCCCAAAATGCTGGAGGGAGAGACCCTCTGTTCTTTGGGGGGCTGCAAAGGGGGGGGCAACCCTGCGTGGGTGGGGAAGAGAGAAGGGCTCCCATGTTTTTGTGGGTGGCAAGGACCAGGAATTATCTGGGGGGGTAGGAAAGGACCCCAAATTACCTGGGGGAAGGGAAGGGACCCCGGATTACTGGGGGGTAGGGAAGGGACCCTGAATTACCTGGGGAGTAGGGAAGTGACCCCAAATTACCTGAGGGTAGGGAGGGGACCCCGGATTACCGGGGGGTAGGGAAGGGACCCCGGATTACTGGGGGGGTCAGGGCAGGGCCCCAGGTTCGCAGGGGCAGGGAGGGACCCCGGAGGGCTGTGTTGGCGGTAGGAGAAGGGGACCCCGGGAATGGGGGGGGAGGGAAGTCGGCGGGGGGTCCCCTCCGTACCGGGGCCATGTGCGCACCGGCCGCCCCCCACGTGGGAACTGAACGGGACGACCCGGAGGCGATTCTACGGCGGCCGAGCGGGACCCTCGAATGGTTGGGATTGGCCGGGCGGGCCACGCGCGCCGCTGGGATTGGTCAGCGCCGCGCGGTTGCTATGGTTACCGGGAGGGCGGGGTGGTGGTCCCGGAAGCGCGGCCCCGGAAGCGGAGCCATGGCGGCGGTGGCGGCGGTAACGCTGCCGCTGCTGGTGCTAACGGCGGCGGCGGCGCTGACGGGAGGCGACGACTCGGACTGGGTACGGCTGCCCAGCAAGTGTGAGGGTAAGCGGGGCCGGAGGGGGGTCCGCCGGAGGGTCGCCGCCCCCTGGCTCCTCGGGCCGGGCCTGGAGTCGGGGCGGGGGGTGTTACCGGTGAGCAGGCTGCGGCCTGCACCGCGCCCCTACGGGCTGCCCCTCTACCCGTCCCCAAGGCAGGAGCAGAGGGTCCCGCGGTGTGTCCCCGCTGGCGGTTGTCTTCCGTCATCCCCTAGATGAGAGGTTACGGGGTGCCCCGGCAGTCGGTGCTGTTCCCGGTTGGCACTGATCGCCCGGCCCTTCGTAGCTGGGGGTCGGTCGTCTCCGCTGCTCACAGTTCGGTCTCGGTGACGCTTTCCTCCCTGAGCTGCCCCTTGATTCACGAGCAGTCAAAAAGGCTTTGTGGTCAGGTCGTGATGGACCTTTGCCGTCTGTCGTGGTTTCCTCTGTCTTTGCTGTGCAGGGAGGTGCAGAGCTTGGCAGCAAAGAAAAAAGGAAGAAATGAAACTCCGCAGCTCTGCGCAAAGCTTTCCCTGCTGGGGAAGTGACTCTGGAGACGCTGATGGCCGAGCTGTGCCGTGGCACCTGCGTAACCCCTGAGAAGCATCATAGCGAGCACTGACCACGTGCTGCTCCTCTTCCTGCCCAGGCCTGGAACCCACGCCAGCGCGGAGCGATAGCCGCGGGCAGCACCTGGATAACTGGACCCAGCAGTGAGCGCTCATGGGGACACCGCAGCAGGCGTGGTGTGGAGAGGGACGTCCTCGAGGCCCGAGTCCAGAGGGGCTGCAGGAAGGAGTACTTGTCCCACCTGAGAAATGGCTGTGGTCACTTCCAGCCCCTGGTGCCAGCAGAGAAAGGAAAGTGAAGAAGGTGCACACAGGGTGTCTCGGCATGTGCATGGCAGCCCTGGAGAAGCCACCTCACTCTCCTCCTGCCTGTGGCACATCTCTCCACTCACGTCATCGCCTGGGAGAAGATGGGGTGGCTCGTCGCTGTCAGACCGTTCCTGCTGGGGCTTGGCCCTTCTCCCAAAGCGGAGCTTGAAGAGGAGTTGGCTCCTGGCAAACAGGAGCCTGCAGCACAGGACAAAGCTTTCTCCAGCCTCCTGGGACCCCGGCTTTGGGGGAGGAAGGGTCACACCATGCCTGGCTTCCATTCCTCCGTATTTCCACTTGTAAACCCCCAAAATATTTCTTTTCTGGTCTCTGTTTCTATAGCTCTGTTGGACTTCTTGTTACAGAAGAAATAAAGCTTTTGTTTCCTTTTTTTTTTTTTTTTTTGTTTTATAAAAGAAAACATGCGCTGTTATAGAGCTGTTGGTGCTGTGATCTCTGCTGCAGGCAGTTCCCTGTGCGGTATTGCTGGAGCTGACAGCCCCTCGTGCGGTGACACGTAGCCAGCATCTTGTCCTGCTATCTGGCCCGCTGAGCCCTGCCGGCTTCTCGGTCCCCAACACAGCTCCCGTGTCCCCAGGGCACTGAGGGAACTGTTACCCGGTGTCACGAGGAGGAGCTGTGGCCCACGCTGGGGCTTGCGTTGTGAAAAGACCCCATCCTCTTCCAGGAGGAAGGGAGCGAGAGGCTTCAGTGGCTGTGAAGCGGAGCTGTTGGGAAACCTGCAGGCAGAACTGCTGCTGTCTGCCATCCCAGCTGTGCTGCAGCAGCTGGCTGCGTAGATGTGCTTACACCGAAGCATTGATTCAGGTGTTCCTGCTTCAAGGGATTTCCAGTGGAATCAGTTGAGCCGTTCCCAGTTATTTCTTTGAATGGCCGAGGCATCTGTTTTCTGCTCGCAGTGGGACTCCTGGTGCTTGTTTCTGCTGCTGTCCCATCCCCAGGTGCTGCGTCACGCTGCCCATCAGAGTGGTGAAACCCCCTAACCCGCCTGTGCTTTCCTTCCCGCAGTGTGCAAGTATGTGGCGGTGGAGCTGAAATCTGCTTTTGAGGAGACCGGCAAGACCAAGGAGGTGATCGACACCAAATACGGCTTCCTGGACGGGAAGGGCTCTGCCGTCAAGTACACGCAGTCGTAAGTCAGAGTGGGACGGGCATTCTCCTGCCATTGTCACTGCCTGTGGTCTGCAAAACCGGGGGCTTTGGGAGCCTGTGAGCAGGCTGCGCTGTGCGCAGCTCCTCCGAAAAGACTAAACTATGCCAGGGCTGATGGGGTGGGGAGGGCAGAGCAGCCGGGGGGGGTGCTCCTTCTGCTTGGGGGGAGCCTGGGAGCCGCAGAGAGGTCCGCCATCGCACTGGCTGGACTGAGGCTCGCTCTCTGCCCTGGCTGTTCTTGGGGGGGCACTGCCGAGCCCAAGTCCTCCCTCCTCTCCATGCAGGGACATCAGGTTAATCGAGGTGACGGAGAACATCTGCAAGCGGCTGTTGGATTACAACCTGCACAAGGAGAGGAGCGGCAGTAACAGATTCGCAAAGGTGAGGGCTGTCCACCAGTCCCAAGCGTCCCTCGCCCACCCTGGCGCCAAACCAGGGTTCATTCTTCCCATCCTGTGGATCCCTTGCCAGCGCCCAGAGCGCGAGGCCACGCTGCTCCCCAAGTCAGGTGTGGGGTGATGTCCTTGGGGGGGGGGGGGGTCCTTGCCCTCGCCTGCGTGGAGGGAGCTAGGGGCTGTCTTGCCTGGCCTATGTCTTCCTGGTTTTGGGAGCGGGTTTCCAGAGGGGGGACTCGCTGCCACTTGAATTCCCTCCCGGTAACGCTGATGCCCCGGGGACCCTGATTTTGGCTGGCTTGCACGTACCTGCGCCCCTGGGCAGGGTCGTGTGGCTGGCGCTGGGAGACGGGGGAGCGGGAGCCCGGCAAGAGGAGTGCCGCTTGACCAGGCAGCACCGCTCTCCCAGGGCATGTCGGAGACGTTCGAGACCCTGCACAACCTGGTGCACAAGGGCGTCAAGGTGGTGATGGACATCCCCTACGAGCTGTGGAACGAGACCTCTGCTGAGGTGGCTGACCTCAAAAAACAGGTACCCGGGCCTGGGGGGAATTGATTCTCGGCAGCCACCGTTGTCCTTGTGGGCCAGAGCACAGGGGGAGACAGGGTCTGCTGGGAACGGGGGTGTCGGCAGGACCTACCACCCCCATCCTGGTCCGTGCCCCGGCGGCGCGTGGCTGGAGCCAGGCTCTCCTCTCTGCGCTAGTGCGACGTGCTGGTGGAGGAGTACGAAGATGTGATCGAGGACTGGTACAGGCACCACCAGGCAGAGGATCTCTCCCAGTTTCTCTGCGCCGACCACGTGTTAAAAGGGAAGGACACAAGTAAGTCCTGGCCGCTGCCAGGGACAGCGCAGGCACGCTGGGGCAGGCGGGGGGAACCCCGTCAGGGTACAGGGGAGCCCCGCTTCTCCCTCAGGGCCCCCTCTCGCCCCTCTCCTCCCTAGGCTGCCTGGCAGAGAAGTGGACTGGCAAGAAGGGTGATTTGGCCAGCGTGGGGGAGAAGCAGAGCAAGAAAAAGAGTGGGAAGAAGAAGAAAAAGGGCCGGAAGGATGAGGACGAGGGAGCTGCCAGCCTCCCGGCTGCAGGGGAGGCCTTGGAGGAGAGCGGGGTCCAGGAGGAGGCTCCACTCCCCCACAGCCCATCTGATGAGCTGTAGGGACGCAGCCCCAGCCCCCGGGGTCTCAGCCCACCGTCTCCCGCGGGTACCAAAGGAAAAGGGACTTTTGCGGCGCGGCGTGAGAGACCGAACCCGGGGAGGGCGGGGATTGGGGGGGGGGGGGGGAGGATGATCCTGCGAGCGGGGGTAGTGGGTGACACGGAGCCACCGACCCGACGCTGTTGGGGCTCCGGCTACGGGAGGGGCCCTGGGGGCGGCTCCTCGTCCTGCCCC